CTTCCTGTCATTGCCTGTGTTTCATGAGTTTCAAGAGGACTGAACAGATTGGTATTGGACATATGGGCTAATACCGGATTTAAGAACGTGATCTGGACTGGGTTGGGATGCTTTCTTAATGTACAATTACCCTTTATACAAAACTCTCTCTTATACACATGTGCGTGTTTATGGATTTGTTTCTCTAATCTACCTGGATGAACACAGGGGAAATAGGTAGCGAATAATCATAAGGACGAGAACGAAGAAAATGTTCTAAAATTGATTGTGGTGATGATCTCACAGCTCTCTTTTAGTATGTAAGGCCATTGATCTGTGCGCTGTGTGGATTTCATGTCAATAAGACTGTTAAACAATGGCACATGGGGACAGTGTCCGACCTCGTCATCTAAGTTCACAAGGCAGAAGAGAATCACTATCAACATCAGAAGTCTAAGGTTGCTTTCTATGAGGTGAAGGTCAGACAGATTTCCCCTCTCCCATCTCTGTACTGATTCAGGTATCAGCCATCTCTCTCACAAGTCTCTGCTTCTCTGCTGCTTTGATCACTCTTTGCAGTGGTACCCAGAGCTCGAAGATCACACTCAACAGTTACAGGGTTTCTTAGGGAAGTAACAGGCTACCATTCAAGATCAGGAGTGACTCAGGATATAGTTCTTTGATCAGGGTGGCTTCTCAGTCATTGCCAAGGGCAGGCCTCCCGCTGGCTTTGGCCCCTTGGCCTCTTGGGCCTCTTGAGTCTTTCAGAGCTCTTGGGCCTGACCAACCTTTGCCCTGCTTAGGCTCATGTTGCAAGACTCTTCAGTTTTGTACCAAAGTGCCCAGAGGCACTGCATTTCATCACCAAGCCTCCTGACCCAACCCGCTCACCGCTCTTGCTCTGTGGGCCAGGAAGCCCCCAGTACTGCCGTCTCCCGGCCCTGCTGCTGTGGGTTTCCTGCCACCCCACCCTGCTACTCCCACCCGGTGCCACTGCTAATGTTACAGCTAGCTCCCTGCCTCCTGAGTCTAGGAGGGTCTCAGCACAGGAACCCTGGGTCTCCATATGACAGGCTTCATGCCCGGCTCTTCTTTCCTCCTGGTAGCTATCCTGTGGGATGGCTCATTTTAAACCTGATTTCACTGGGGCTCCACACACCGTATCTGCACAATCCTATTCCCTTATAACCGATGCATTTAAATCATGGTGCTGGCGAAGAATATTGAACGTACCACCGACTGCCAAAAGGACAAGTGAGCCTGTCTCGGAAGCACAGCCAGAGGGCTCCTTAGAGACAAGGATGGCGAGACGTCATCTCACACGTTTGGACATGTTGTCAGGAGAGACCAGTCCCTGGAGAAGGACACCCTGCCCGGTCAGTGAAAAAGAGGAAGACCCCCCACAAGGTGGATTGACACTGTGGCTGCGACCCTGGGCTCAGCTGAGGAACGGTGGTGAGGAGGGCACAGGACCGGGCGGGCAGTGTTTCTCCCGTTGTGCACGGGGTGGCTGTGGGTTAGAACCAGCTTCCCGGCGCCGGTCATCACCACGTTCTCTTAAGCACCTTGTGTGCGTTGTCAGCGAGCTCTCCAGTCTCCTCGATGGGCCGCAGACACCCTGTTGACACAGCCCCATCCAGTCGTTTGGTGGGAGTGACGACAAGACCATGGCTAGAAAGGACATGTAAAAGCAGCCCATCACACGGAGGCACCGGACCCCACAGATCAGGCAGCCAGCCCAGGCTGGGGCTGAGGGTGCTGGGCAGAAAGCACGTCTCTTTGGGACACAAGGGAGCTCCACAAGTTGGGAGCAACCCAACGGCACTGGTGCGGTATACTTTGTTTTTTAATCATTTTATTGGGGGCTCATCCAACTCTTATCACAAGCCATCCATCCATCCATTGTATAAAGCACCTTTGTATATTCCTTGCCCTCATCATTCCCAAAACATTTGCTTCCACGTAAGCCCCTGGTATCAGCTCCTCATTTTCCCCCGTCCCTCCCTGCTCCCCACTCTCTCATGAACCCTTGATAATTTAGACATGATTATTTTGTCATATCTCACACTGTCCGACGTCTCCCTTCACCCACTTTTCTGTTGTCCATCCCCCAGGGAGGAGGTCACATGTAGATCTTTGTAATCAGTTCCCCCTTTCTACCCCACCTTCTCTCCACCCTCCCGGTATCACCACTCACACCACTTGTCCCGAAGGGATCATCCACCCTGGATTCCCTGTGTTTCCAGTTCCTATCTGTACCAGTGTGCATCCTC